GTGTGTGTGTGTGTGTGTGTGTGTGTGTGTGTGTGTGTGTGTGCGTGCGTGTGTGTGCGTGTGTATTTATATATATACACATACATGGATACTTGAAACACACACACACACACACACACACACACACACACACACACACACACACACACACACACACACACACACACACACACACACACACACATACACACACACACACACACACACACACACACACACACACACACACACACACACACACACACACATTTTTTTCTCTCTTTTTTTAAGAGCCATTGATTGTGTGTGTGTATTTATTTATGCATGCATGTATGGATGGATGTATGTGTGCATGTATATAAATGTATGCTTTTATGTATTTATGTATACATGAATGTATGTATGTATGTATGCAAGTACATATGTACGTATCTAAATACATATATATATGTATGTATGCACTCACACATGTATATATACTGTGTGTAATATTATATATGAATATGTGTGTATATATGTATATATATGCATATATATACGTACATATATATACATACATATATATATATATATATATATATATATATATATATATATATATATATATATATATATATATATATATATATATATATATATATATATGTATATATATAGATAGATAGATAGATAGAAAGACACACACTTGTATGTATGTATGTATGAATATTCTGGAGGCGGGGAGGGAACATTCCAGTGTTGTAATACAAAATTGTAAGATAATATGGTTCTTCGCCACAACATTCCAATCTTTGGAGTAATACAGAAAAAATACCCCCCCCCCTCAAAAAAAGAAAAAAACTATAAAAAAATATATAATAAATAAACAGTATTGTCCTTGGCGTTCTTCTGGTCAGCAACCGAAACGTGATTACGCCATTTTCACTTCTATTTCAAGACTGCGTAAGGGTGAAGGTGAGTTGGACGAGATTGCTCTTATTTATAGAAGGGGTGGGAGAGGGGGAGGGGGGCTGAGAGGGTTAAGGGGGGAGGGAGGAAGGAGACGGTGGAGGGAGGGAGAGGGAGGGTAGAGGGAGGGAGAAGGATGGATGGGAATGGGGGGAGAGAATGGAGGGAGGTAGAGAGAAGATGAAGGAGAGATAAATAGATATAATGAAACGAGAGGGAGAGAGAGATAGAGATAGATAGAGAGATAGATAGATAGAGAGAGAGAGAGAGAGAGAGAGAGAGAGAGAGAGAGAGAGAGAGAGAGAGAGAGAGAGAGAGAGAGAACGAAATGAGAGAGAAGGAGGAAGAAAGAGAAAGAGGAAGAAAGAGAAAGAGAGAAAATGGAGAAACGGAGAGAGGGAAAATGTAACGAAAGAGAGGAAGGAGGCAGAACGAAGAGGGAGTCTGAAACAGAGAGGAAATACGGAAACAGGAATAGGGATAATAGTGGAGGGGGGGGAGAAGGGGAGGTTAGAGTGGGGGGGGGGGGTGGAGGGCACTGAGGGGGGAGGCGGAGAAGTGAGGGGAAAACAAGGGGACAGTGAGGGGGGTGGGGGAAGGTAGGGAGGGTGTAGGGGTGGTGGACCGTTGAGGGGGGAGGGGGGAGGGGGAAGGGGGGGAGGGGGGAAGGGGGAAGGGGAAATCGGGGGGCCATTTATTGAAGTCAGCTTGTCAATTATCGAGTCGAGTTTTCTATTATTGTTTTATTTGTCTGTTTTTTTTTCCCCCTTCTGTTTTCGGTCTAATTTTAATAGCTCTTTCCTCTCTATACTGTTTGCATTTCTTTTTTTGTTTTGTTTTGTTTTCGTTTTCTTTCTTTGTTATATTCTCCTTTCACTTCGTCCTCCTTCGTCCTATTTTTCTCCCTCTCTCCCTTCCCCCCTTCCTTCATCTCCCTCATTTTTCCCCTTCTGTTTCGCACACTTAATTACTCAACTGTCCTTCACTGAAGTGGTCAGAGGGGGGGGGGGGAGGTTGGAGTTAGAGGGGGGGGGAGGTAGGAGGGGTGAGAGAGGAAGGGGGGGGGAGGGCTATGGGATATGAAGGAAGCTATAAGATGAAGGGGGGGGGGTGGAGGAAGGAGGAGGGGATACGGAAGAGACTATGAGAGGGGGGAAGGGGGGGAGAGGGGAAAGAGGGGGAGGGGGGGGTGAGGAGAACAAGGAAGAGATGTAGTAAAAGCTAAAAAAATTCTCTCTCTCATGTCTATAAAGAGGAGTCACTGTCACCACCCATTTAACGAACGCATAGGAACGTAGTATATATAGAAGAATGATAATGTAGAAGACAAGTGTAGCAAACGGAACGAGAGAGTAAATGCAGTCTATGTGTATGTGGTCAGAATATGAAGGTCGTTAAGCGTGATATGAGCCGAGGGGAGGCATGTGTAGGGGGGGGAATCCTTCTACGCAGTTAAGCAGATAAACACCTGGGGGTTGTTACGCACAGTTGGTAGTTATCTTTTAATCTTTTCATTCTCATTTATTACCATTTCTTTACCGTTCGGGCGTTCATGAAACGAAGCATACATAAAAACGTTCATTTCCGAGTAAAAAAGAAAAAGACAAATATTTTAATCAATAAAACAAACGATACCGCAAAAGGAAACACGATAAAACATAATAGAACAGTTCAATACAACACAAACGACAAAACAAAAACAAAAAACACTCGACACCAAAAAGTACGAACGACAAAATGGTAAAATAGAACACTTAAATAAAACAAACGATAAAAGATAAAAAAAAAAAAAAAAAAAAAAAAATAAGAATGAATGAAAGCGCCGGTTCCTTGGCCGAACGAATAACGCAAAGTATCCCTCACTTCCTCTATCAAAACGACCCTCACGACCATTGGCCCTTTCCGGGGTTCCTCAGACTCTTTCCACGAGGCAGACCGTTCGGAAAATCGCTCTTTCGGTTGTCTTAGCTGTGTACGTTGCCTTTGTAGGCGAGGAAAGTAACTAGTGTTGTTTATTTTTGGCTATTTAAAATGGATAAAACAAATCGTAGAACTATCAATGTACAAGATTTGGATTTGTGTAGTAAGATACTTTTAAAGAGTCATTTGCATAAAATAACTATATTAGAATAATAATTGGGTGGGTAAACGAACTACTGTAGAATGTTAAAGCATATTGATAGGATAATTACAAATATATATATATATATATATATATATATATATATATATATATATATATATATATATATATATATAAATTGGATTTAAGACAAAAAAAACAATGGATGTCTTAGTGATAAAACATAAATGTAAATCTTAAAATGTAAAAGTAAAGGTTCTTTGGTGCTTTATCATCATCTTTCGGGGGGAATGATTGATAAAACGCGTGGCGTATGTGCGGGCACCCTCCTCCTCACTCGCGAGATAAATACGGTTTTCTCGCGTCCTGGAGGTAATATTGAAGGCCAGAGAATACGTCACGTTGCTGAATGAATTGCATTGGGGAAAGTGAATCGCAGAAACGCCACCCCAACTCCCCTTTGAAAATGCGAGGAAAAATGACGCCAATCCAAGGTTCCACGAGGTGCGTGTGTTGCCAACTTCGTCACTTCTACTTTCTTTATTGCTTTACCATGCCTGTGGGAGAGTTGAAGGCGAGAGGAGTTATGTTAGTACATTGCATTACCTTCTAGAGTGATCGGCGTGAAATCAGCGAAGTAGATCACTTCAGGGACTGAGGGAGTTGAGGGAGAGGGGGTGGGAGGGAGGAAGGAGAGAGGGAGAGGGGGTGGGAGGTAGGGAGGGGAGAGGGAGAGGGGGTGGGAGGTAGGAAGGGGAGAGGGAGAGGGGGTGGGAGGTAGGAAGGGGAGAGGGAGAGGGGTAAGAGCTTCCGAGAGTGAGAGAGGGACTTCCAGTGCGTCGGTGTCCTCTCCCTGAGACGGTTCCGTGTGTGTGGAGTCCTGTTCTCGAGACGTTTTTTACTCCTATTTCGTCCCGAGAGAAACGCCCTTTTATTTCACTCATTTCTCTGCGTCTTTTTTCTTTTCTTTTTCGTAGTGTTTCGATTTCGATGGTGTCCCTCGTTTTGAAATGTCATGTGGTCGCCTTCTGATGCGCAGTTGTTTGCAAGTGTCTCAACAGTGTATCAGTTGGTGTCAGATATCATCGGTGTCGTTTTACCAGTTCTTAACAACGCCACTCTCCGGTCAGCCCGTGTTTGACTGAGGTTGTTTTGGCGGAACTCCAATAACATTCACTGACCGTCATCACTGCGGGTCCAGCTCCTTTCACTGCCCCGACCAGCCCGTCCTCTGTTCGTCTGTCTGTCTGGTTCTCCATTTTATCTCCGTTTCTCTTTATCTTTTTTCCTTTTGAATTTGTTTCTCTCGCTTTGTCTTTAGTTCATGTATCTTTATTCTGCACGTAGGGTGTGTCTCCTTATTCTTCCTTCCTAGTGCCCTTTCTCCCTCTCTTTCCTCCCCCTCCCCCCTCCTACCTCCGCTCTGCCCCAGCCCCTTCTCCTTGGCACTGCCCCGAGAGTTTTAATAGCGGGGTCGTGCAGTGGACCTCGGCTCGGTCGTACGAAACGTCGTGCAGAGGAGGTCGTGTTTCCTGCGCGTCCCTTTCGATATCTTGTCTCGATGACGATGGCGGACGTGAAGACATCGTGACTGGACTTCCAAGAAAAGATAGTATGCAATAACGCCTCTCGAAAGCAAAGGCACTCTCACTTCTGCTTCTGCTAGGATTTCCTGCCGTGCCTGCGGCCAAGAGCTGTGCCAATATTACAAAAGAGAAGAGAAAGTAAGCCAAAAGGAAAAGAAGGGCTATCGCTAAATAGTAAAATAAATAGGAATAACACGCAAGAAACAAAGAAACAGAAAGGATTCGAAGAAAAGGAGGGATTCCCCTTCCGCTCTCTAGAAATCGCTCGAAGGAGGAGCAACAGCAGCCCGAAGATGAGCCTGTGGGCCCTCAGCTCGGCCAGTCTACACCTGCAGAATCTGTGCCGAAGAAAGGGCGCCGAGGACCCCCGCACGCACCGCGCCGCCAGGGACAGTCGCCGTGACGTAAGTGCGAGTCTTGGTTACACACACAGCGTCGCGTGGGTGGCGTTAGATCGGGCTTGCCTCTCGCGGGGCGCGTCTTCCTTTGGGCAAAACTGTCTCTGGAAGGGCGTTGCATCCTCGTCTCATTCATTGCCTTACGTGCACTAGGTGTATGTATATGCGTGCACACACACACAAACACATATATACGTACATACACACACACACATGTATATGTATATGCGTGTGTGTGTGTGTGTGTGTGTGTGTGTGTGTGTGTGTGTGTGTGTGTGTGTGTGTGTGTGTGTGTGTGTGTGTGTGTGTGTGTGTGTGTGTGTATAATATAAATATAAATATAAATATATATATATATATATATATATATATATATATATATATATATATATATATATAATATATATATATATATATATATATATATATATATATATATCTGTATATCTGTATATATATGTATGTATATATATGTAAATGTGTATCGATATATATATATATATATATATATATATATATATATATATATATATATATATATATTTTTTTTTTTTTTTTTTTTTTTTTTTTTTTTTACATGTGTATTTACATATGCATTCACACCCATATATACATATATATACAAATATATATACATATATATACACTATGTATATATGCATATACATGTGTATATATACATATGTATACATATATGTATAATATATGTAATGTTTTATAATAAATCTATATATATGTGTGTTCGTGTGTGTGCGTATGGCGCGTGCGCGCATGTAAAACATGTCTTGAAAGTGACATAACTGAGGTCAAATAAATTTCAAGCGTCTGCAGTTCTCCTGTTTCCCCTTTTCTCTCTCCATGTCACCCTTGCCTCTCTCGTGCATGTAGTGATTGTGAAAGTCTCCCAGCAAGTAATTGCATCTGTTTTTTGCTCTGGAGATATAAGTTCCGAACACTTTTTTTGACCCGTTTTATCGGGTTTAGTCCCCCCTCTCCCCTGTCGCGTTTTCTCTTTTTGCACCTCAGGTTTTCTCTTTCTTATGGGCCACGTTTTCGGTTTTTGTTTGTCACGTTTTCTCTCGGTTTTTCATTTGGCCTTCGTCTGTTTCTAATTATTTTTTACCGGGGATTTAAGAGAGCCAATATTGACTTCGATCTTAAGCTTTTGTTTTTCAATTATGATTTTCTCCCTAATTTTCTTGATTTTATCATCATCATCATCATCATCATTATCATTATCATTATTACTGTTATCATTAACTTTCATCCTCATCCTCATCCTCCTCATCATCACCATCATTTTAATTACCAATACTATTATTCTTATCGATGTTGCTCTTATTAATATAATTTCCTAGCTGACTATCCAGCGTTGCCTGGGCAGAAATTCGCTTTTCAGAACATGGACAATTTTACTAAGAATAAAACAGTAATTTCAGGCATTATATTATTTGAACGAGAAGTATATTTCTGTATTTATATCCTCATACACAAACCACATGCTGTTTTTTTCATTATATACACAGACCCAACGTAATTTCAACAGTTTCAGCTTGAGAGGGTGTTTTGGTCCAAAGTTTTACATAAAAGGGGGGCGGGTTTTGTTCCACCCACTCTTTGCCACGCCCACCTGATGTGATCTTGTCTAGGCTAAAACAATACCCTAGTAAAATAAGTTTTAGCTTTACATAATAATTCCGTACAAAGTTTTACTGATTAAGATGATTTAGCTCCACCCACGCTGCCACGCACCCTGCGCTGATGTTGCCATGATATTTCTCAAGTTACCCATATAGTCTAAGTTTTGGGTCACGTGAATTAATAAGGAACTAATATACAGACACTCACACTTACACAAACACAAACACACACGCACGCACACACTCACACTCATACTCATATTCACTCACAATCATACTCACACACACACACACACACACACACACACACACACACACACACACACACACACACACACACACACACACACACACACACACACACACACACACACACTCACTCACTCACACACTCGCTCAACGAGCTTTCTTACCGACTTTAATGCTGTCATCATTATAGTTACTAACATTATTAACACTACTTTTACCTTCATCATCAACGCCATCATCAATATTCTTCAGCCTTTAATATAATTTTTCAATATAACGAAACGGAAATATTTCAACATTTTTTTTCTCTCTCTCTCTGTCTCTCAAGCAAGGCATAACTAAAATTGCAGTCATTATCACATATTTCATTCGTGTTTACTAGAGCAGATCCAAAAGTGATATAAAGACCAGGCAGTAATCGCATTATGAAGAGTGAATTTGCACTTATTTATGACGTAAAGTGACTGCGTGAAAGGACTTAGAGTGAGTCCCAGAAAATTAGATTTGAATAATTGATGAAAATGGGGATTGGGAAGATGGGCGTTAGAGAGCGAAGAGGTGAAAAATAGGAAAGAAGGGAGCGAATAGACAGTTAGATAAATACAGACAAAGATGTATAGATTGATTGACACACATAAATAGAGGGAGAGGGAGAGAGAGAGAATAAGATAAATAAAAACGGAAAACTACAAACCTTTACCACAAATGACAGAAAACACCACAAACCGAAACAACATATGCCTATGGCCCTGGCAACAGTGAGGTCGTTTTTATGTACCAGGAAACCCTGACTTCCGACCTTGAGAAAAATATGTCTACCATATCTAGTTTTTTTTTTCTTTCATTTTTTTCGGGGAGAAACATGCGTATTTTTTCTATATAATTTTTATCGTTGTTTTCGTCATCAGTTTAGTTATATATCATTATCATTATTGTTATTATTATTACTATTATTGTTACTATTATTATTATTATTATTATTATTATTATTATTATTATTATTATTATTATTGTTATTATTACTTCTGCTACTACTACTACTATTATTATTATTATTATTATTATTATTATTATTATCATTATCATTATTATTATTATTATTACTACTACTATTATCATCATTATTGTTATTGTTGTTATTATTATTATCATCATCATCATCTTCATTTTCATTGTTATTATTATCATTATTATTATTATTATCATCACCAATCATCATCATCATTATTATTGTTACTATTATCTTCCTTTGGTTATCAGTTTCTCACTTACTTCACCATGTTTAATATTCTAATTTATTCCATTCCCTTCCTTTCGTATTTTTTCGCAGATTGTGTCTCATCTAGTTATATTTTCGTTAGACTTAATCACCATTATATGCGATTTATTTGTGTAATGATATATCTTATATATTTATGGCTTTTGCTTGTAAGTAACAGTTCGTAATATTAGGAAAATGAAAGCATGCGTTTCGGTTCATTCATGGCTGTTATTTTGAAAACCGGTTTCTAAGATTTTTTTTTCCTATTTCAGTCGTTTGCTTTCATAACTTGTCGCTTGTTATTCCTTTCTCTTCTCTCTACTTTCGTAATATTTCTGTTCTTCCTGTTCTTCCTTGCTTCATTTTGTTTTGTTTTTATTTAGTTCTGTATTTATTTGTTTATGTTTTTTTTCTTGTTTTCTTACATTTTCCTTCTCTTCCTCCTTCACATCGTTTTTATCTCTTGTCCACTTCCTTCCCTTTTCCTTTTTTTTCTTTTTCTTCTATTCTGACATTTTCCTCCTTCTCCTCCTCTTCATCTTCCTTTTCCTCCTCCTCATCCTCCTCCTCTTCTTCTTCCTCCTCCTCTTCCTCCTCCTCCTCCTCCTCCTCCTCCTCCTCCTCCTCCTCCTCCTCCTTCTACCCTCCTCCTCCTCCTCCTCCTCCTCCTCCTCCTCCTTCTACCCTCCTCCTCCTCCTTCTCCTCCTCCTCCTCCTTCTCCTCCTCCTCCTCCTTCTCCTCCTCCTCCTCCTCCTCCTCCTCCTCCTCCTCCTTCCCTCTTCCCAGACCTTCCTAAATGAGAAGGAAGAAGAGAATGAGGATAAGAAGAAGAAGAAGAAGAAAAAGAAAAAGGAAGAGGAGAAGAAAAAGAGGAGAAGGAGAAGAGGAGTAGGAGGAGGAAAGAAGGAAGAGAAGGAAGAGGAAGGATAGAGAAGAGGAGTCGGGGGTTGGGGGACCGGGAAGGGAGGGAGGAGGGGGGAGGGAGGAGGGAGAGGGGGGGGGATTCTCGCTGTCTCTGACGTCACAACTTTCACTATGCAAGTTGCCTCGCTTACCGAAGCAGAGGCCGGGACAGGCGGAGGAAGGCAGAGGAATAGGAACAAGGATGATAAAGAGGAATAATGAGGGAAATGGTGATAGTAATAATCATAACATTAATGATGATGATGGTGATGATAGTAGTAAGATAATAATAGCAATAATAATAATGGCGATAATAATAGAAGTAGTAGTAGTAGTAATTATACTAATGATATTATTAATAATAATAATAAATATGATTATAATAATGATGATAGAAATTATAATTATATTTATAACAATAATAATGATAATGATAATACTTATAATGATAAAAATAATATTGATAGTAAGAATAACAGTGATTATAATGATATTAATAATAAGTGATGATAATGATGTTGATAATGATAATTATTATAATAACAACAACATTCAAAAAACGATGTAATGAACATAACATTAATAACCAGTGCTAGAACTGCTACAAATCATAATCGTTATGATTGAACTGGCAACTCTAATGGTTATGGAAAGCATCATTGTCACCATCAGTATAATCATCATCATTTTGTTATCAGTATTTTTGCTATTATTACTGTTCTTGTCATCATCACCATGTTAAATATTATCATCATTATCATTACTTTTATATATTGTTTTTATTTCTTATATAGTTCTTGTTGCTTTCTTGTTACTGTATTGTTACATTATTATTATTATTATTATTACTTTTATTACTATTATCATTTTCATCGCTGTTGCTACCATCAGCACTTGTTTTTACACTTATTCTGCTGCAATTAGCAAACCTTTTTAAACAATGAAAAAAAAA